TTCCTGCAGCGGGGAGACGCGGAGACTCGGCCAAAGCCCGGGAAGCTGCAGCGGGGGCGATGGCCGCACCGAGTCCCGGGCCCCGCGAGGTAGGTGCGGACCCAAGAGAGAACAGGAGTGGGAACCGTTGTTGATCAAGGGCCGAGCCTCCCCTCCGCCAAGGGCACAGACACGCCCCCATCTCCGCCTGGGAGGGGCCCTGCCCTGGTCGAGGACCGGGACACGCCCCATGCGGGGCACAGGTTCGAAGCGGGGGTGATCCAGCGGGTATCCCGGGAGGATTTCCTCAGTTTCCTCATCGGGAAAATGGAGATGGTATTAAAAGCTCCTCCTTTACAGGGCCGTTGGGAGCTCTCAGCCAGGGTTGGGCACGTGGTGGGTGCCCACGAGTAACGGCTCAGCTGTGTGATCTCAGCCCCTGCCGCCCCTCGGCGCGGGCCTGGAGGAAGTCAGCAGAGGCGGTGGGGTAGATCTGAAGGAATCGCGGGCAATCACAGTGCGGCAAGCAGGGCTTCCTGTGCAGGAGCTCAAACTCAATGGTAACCCAGCCAATTCCGCCAGGAAGGAGTTGGTTACTTTAGTTTCTCCTTGCTGCTGAGGAAAAGAGGCACCGATTTACACAAGGTCACAGAGCTGGTGACAGGGTCGGTCTCAGCCCAGTTTGACTGCAGAATGCACTTGCTTTGCTTACTGCTGACACTAATAATCACCGTCACGCTGTCCGATGCAGCGTGCAGGTTTGTGTGGCCCCTCATACCTGCGATGGGAACATTATCCCTATTTTACAGCTGAGGAAACTGAGGCAGAGAGAGATGAGGGGAAGGCTCACAAGTAGTGCAGGTGGGTCGAACCTGGGTCTTTCCCCTCTGAGATGCCCCTCTTTGCTTTCTGTACCTCTTCCCACCAGGCCCTGGCCTCCTCCCCAGAGGCTGGACAAAGAGAGCCGGTCTCAAGCTCCAGCCGCCACCGGGGCCTCCTTCGGCGCCTATGGGACAAGCAGACTCGCCTGGGGCTGTTTGAGATCGGCCCGAGGCATGAGCTCCACGGGGTGACGCGTATGATGCAGGCAGGGCTGTGGGCTGCCACCCAGGTCTCCATAGACCATCCCCCCACGGTGAATGGCCTGTTACCCTACATACCCATCCCCAACACTCAGGCCGGGGCTCAAGCTTGCTCACGCTGCTGCATCGGGACCAGAGAAGGCAGGGGCTTGGCGCAAGAAGGGTGGGACATTCAGAGACGGACGTTGGAAATCTCAGGGTGTTGGGAGCTTGAGAACCCCCCCTGTGTGGTTGTGTGTGACTCTAGGGGTTCCTCTCCCTCTCTAGCCTCAGTACTGTATGATGGGAGGGGGGGTTACAC